GCTGGTCAGTGTGTAATTCAAAGGTAATCCAAAGCAAAAAAAAAGTAGTGTAGTGTAGTCAAGTGTGGTGAACGTGATCAATGCACTGTTCAATGCTTCTTTTCTTCTTCTACTGTATTGTACGGTATTATTATTATTATTATTATTATTATTATTATTATTAATGTAAATGTTGTAATTTTTGCAATTATTGTCATTAACTGCCACCGGGTCATACCCAATTGCAGTTCTAATAAATGTATGTATGTATGCATGCACTAGCCCGATCCTGCTGAGCGCGGAGGGAGCACTGACCCACTGTTGCTCCGGAGCCCCTGTCACGCTACCAGGCGGCCGAGCCGCACACTGGTCACGCCATGGAAGTGAGGAGGAGGTTGAGAAGGGACGCATGTGTGTGCTCCTTCCCCTGCTGTCACTATTAAATTTTCATCACACAAACTTTCAGACCGGATCTTGGGTCTATCCGTTTAACATGTCCTAATTTACTCAGTGCAATAAAAAATTGAACACGCTACAAACTGGATTACAAGAGTTCTCGCGAAACAATAAAGCACTGTTTAAGTAATTTATAAAATAATAGATGACACAGTAAATGTTATTAGGTTATTTTATTAAAATGGGCAATTACGTATGTTGGCATGTCAATTAGAACCATCAATACAATGTTAAGTTGCTTAAAGACAGAATCCGGGAGATTGATGGCAAACGAAGTCATATAATTATGTATAAATCACAATTGAAATAGTATAAGGCCTGAAAATATGTGAATGATAATATGAAACATTTATGTACAGAAAATATTTATATGAAACGATTATTTTTTTATATATGTATCATACAATGAAATAACTTTTATGTGAAATAACTCTGATTTAAAAAGCACGTACCTTCGTAATATATTGTAACACTACTTCAATATGCAAAAGTGCTTCCTAACATCAAAAATGACCTTCCCACGCTGAGAATAAATCTTAATCAGTCAGTCGGGGAATATCAATTTTAGAGAAAATATTAAGGTTTAGGTGATAGCTGGTGACCACCTATTTGGTCATAGACGAACAGATGGACAGACATACGGACGGAAAGAAGAAAACGGACGGACAGACGAACGGACGGACTGACGGACAGACCAAAGAATGGACGGACAGACGACAGGCTGAAGGACGGCAGGTAGACGGACGGATAGACAATGTACGGACGAAGAGATTTTCGGAAAGCGAACGGAAAGATGTGCGGACACACGGGCGGACAGGCTATCAAACGAACTGTCAGAGACCGAACGCCGTACACCAATTTTTTGGTATGAAGGATCCTCAAAACGTAGATTCTAACGATACAACGTGTTAAAGGAAGTAATTAACTGTGTAAATTGTCAAAAATTATCCATGTTGTCGGTATTAAGGACACTGAATTATTTTTTTTCTAAAATGGCCATTTTATCGCAGCACATCGCATATCTTTCGTTACAGTACGTGAGTAGTATGTGGGAAATTAAAAATGAAAATATGACAATAACTTTCTTCTATTAGTTGGAAATGTTATTTCTCTTATACGTACGTCTCGTGTAAACCGCTTTAGTACCTTACCTATGTGAGAGACGTTTTCCCAACTGATCAACACCCTGCCGATCTGGCCTCTCTCATAGCTCTGCGATTTTGAAAATCATTGTTTAATTGTTTGGGACACTTCTCATGAAGTCTCTGAGACTTTATCAAACTTTTTTCCAAAATGGCTACAAATTTTCTTTATATCTCTTGTAAGAATAAATACATTTATAAAGGTGGAATAGGTCCGATTTTCACTGTTAAATCTGAATTTTCCAAAACTGTAAAAGTTTCATTCTTTCAGCGCCTTCCTGCAACTACAAAATTGAAGATAGAGATTTTTTCTTCGAAGGAGATTTGTTCTCGATAATTAGTTCCTTCGTTAACGTCGTGTTCATTTGTTTAATTTCAGGAGATTTGGCCCTTTTTTTTTAAATGTGGGCAATAATAAAAAAATATCAAAAGCAATAACTTCTCAAAAACTGCTGGCAAACGGATGGGCCAACACCAAAAATCTAGCCCAGACCAAAGAAATTAGAAATCCTTCACCATTCTCTACCAACGCTGTTTTTGTTCTGCTACATTTTTTTTTTAAAAAACAGAAGTTTGTTTGGTTTATGAGATCTTAAAGCAGAAAATTTTAATTTCAATAATCTAATGAACTGAAATTTAAAAAGAAAACCCTCTTGAAAATGATGCATTAAATGACAAATTTAACACAAATAAATTATTACAATTAAAGTAAACAAATTTGCAAACGGAAGGCATCTAAAGGAAAAGATGCCATCGTAGTCTGTACCGTGTATATTAATCATGTTTTGATGTGCTAAAATATAAATTAATTAAATCCTTTTTGCTTCTCATCAATCATGAACGCATAAAACGTGACCCAATATATGGAAAACAGGACCATTTTTTAATACAGCGATTAATGTTTTCCCGGTGAATTCGGGTTTAATTTACCTTTTGTGTGCAAACAAGCTTCCGTGTTTTCACGGCCTATTCATTTTATGGAGGGTAAGTTATTTATTAAATTAATAATTATATTAATAAATTATATTAATAAATTATATTAATAAAGACAGGATGAAAGTTGTCTGTTTATGGCATCGGGAATTTGGTAACGTCTAACATTTTATGTGCCACTCATCCTTTTCACCACTTAATCAATTCAAGCATTCGGTCTTGCTGCTACTAGAAAGTAGCTCACAAACCCTAACTCTGCGAAGTGAATTTTGCAATGTAACTGAAATGGTTCCCAAGGATGAATGGTGGTGGATGAATACTGAATCGAGAGCCTCGGGGAAACGATTTATTGAATTCGTAAAGCTTCGCAGAAAAATCCATTTTGTTCGTCACATAGTCCATTGTACATCTCAGGTGTCAATAAAAAATGAAATATTATTTCCCCAACAAGTCGTAAAACTGGTTTGGCTCTATAGTGCTCAGTAACATGCCAGTATGAAAAATAACAACATTAAATGTATTCAGACATGTCAAAATACAGTACTGCGAAGCCGGATAGCTGTTTCCGATTTTATTAGAAACTAGCGTACCCGTGCGAGAACTCTCGCAGTCACCCTTCTAATTTTTCCGAAGGGATCGTGAAACTTAAACATGGAAACACGTGATCTGTTTTCATCGTAGTTCCCTCGACAATTAGCTACACAGCACGTGTATACCGCAGCAAAACGTTAAATAAATGGTGACACTACGAGCATAAGAAAAATCTTCCTCGGTATCAAGCACCTATTAATAGTACTTATAGTTGTTGCTGCGAGAACGAATCTTGAATTAATGATTATGCTAATACATCTCGTCAGTCTGCGCAAACCACTGTGTACGCGGAAAGCGTGAATAATTTAAGATGAAGGAATTTAAGCAAAGCATCGCAAAAATGGCCATCACCAAGGCTTGAAATATAGGTGGCATTGGTTGTATTGATGTGCAGAACCGGAAAAAAATTCTAGAGTCAGCCGGCCTAATCGGCAGTTTCCTTTATTTCATCCGATCAACTTAAGAGGAATGTCAGAAAAGTTTTTTTAACCAATGGGCACGGACCCTGCACGTTCCTTTCTTCCTTATCCGCTTCGAACTCCGTCTTAGGATCTGACGCTTGACTGAATACCTATCGCAGTACCTTCTCCCTTGGAGTGAAGAACCTTCAGTAGACGGTTGAGAAGGCGCAGGTCGCGGCCCTGAAACCCTCGCGGGGAAAGAAAAAATCGTGAACGTAAATTGGCGATTAGCGATTAGTGATCCGTTTCAGTGCCAGTTACAACTTATCATAAGTTGCTTCTTTGCTCTATTTATGATGGAAAAAAATGAAAAATAGTGATTCAATTTTAGGGAAATATTTTTGATAAATTGTAATATCTTCGTGCAGAAATTACATAGCTGTGTACGGACGATCTCATTTTGATGAACAGATTTTATTTCAGAAAAAACTACCATCAATATTGTACATTTGCAATGTTATTTTTTGCAATTTTCGAAAATACCGAGAGTTAACTGAAAAAGGGACCAAAATCATTTTTTGTCGAGTCTTCTACATACGAGGAGAATATTAAGGGAAAAATTGCAGCTGTGTTTGAGAAAATATTTAAAATTTGCCTATATTTCACGTAGAATTTCGCGGAAACTCCTCTGAATTTCAAACAAATTGTAGACGACCTTACTTCAAGATACGTTTTCGAACAGATTTAATTTTAAAAAATCCCTATCTCCAATATTGTAGGCAGATGCTCCAAAAATTAAACTTTAGCAATTTCCAGAAATTCAGAAATTTTAGGTGAAGTGAAATCTGCGTCAATTTTTGGGTGTTTTACCATGTACGAGGACACATTGTAATAAAAACGATGGGGCTAATTTGAGAAAATTTTGAAAATGGTGAGGCTTTAAATAAAGTACCTCCCGAAATCAAAATATCCGTTTCACATGCGCACGACCCGGAGTTCGTTTAGATCCAACAAGGAATATTACTTTTTTGAGAAAATCCAGTGAACTGTTTAGGCTAGTGTTAACTACAGACAGACATGAGTTTTATATTCAATCAACTTTTCGGTACCTAACACTCCAAAACATGAACTCTGACAACACAACGCATTACAGGAAGTAATTTACTACATATCCAAACAAGATTTAAGCACTTTTTTTATCAGGTCTCGACAATTATAATTTTTCTGTCGAAAAATCGTCGATATCCACCGCAACATTCCAAGACTTTCTTTTTACTTCGTTCGAAGTAAGGCGAGCCAGCGCGCAACGGGGATTGGGGTCGCCATCTGAAGGACGAGCTGAGCTGCGCCGCGCCGCGAGGGCGGGGGGGGCGCAAAGTGGATTTGCGGGTCGCCGTTCGAGGGCAGCGGGCGCCCGCGGAGCGGCTGAGAGCTTCGACAGCCGCCGCCTGGCGCCGCCTGGCGCCGCGGGAGCTAATGTTTGCCAGCCGCTACATACTGATGAAGTGCGGGGGCGCGCGGAAAATCCGGAACAAGCGGAGGCGCGCCCTGCGAGCGGCTGGGGCTGGGCGGAAGAAGGCGCCACGCCGATGGTGCGGGCCCGTTTTCGAGCAGAGCTCTGCGCCTTCTTCTACATCCACTTCTTCTTCTTCTTCTTCTTCTTCTTCTTCTTCTTCTTCTTCTTCTTCTTCTTCTTCTTCTCCTTCTTCTTCTCCTTCTTCTTCGTCTTCTTCTCATTCTTCTTCTTCTTCTTCTTCGTCTTCGTCTTCTTCTCATTCTTCTCCTTCTTCTTCTTCTTCTAATTCTTCATCTTCCCCTTTCAGCCACTGGTGTCTGTGCCATTTTAATACATGTTGCCTGTTTTTTTATGCGGACCACCCTTAAATTACGTAACATAAATTTGGAGTATTTTGAATACCCACTTGTCCCTTGGAAACCATATGTAACGCGTGGTTGAACCGCATCCCCCACCCCCTAAATAATTACGTAAACGACACGTTATCTCAATTTTTACTAGGCGAACATTTAAAAAAAAATCAGTGACGAGTGACAAGAAAAATTTTACAGGAGAATAATAGAGATGTATAACTTTAATTTTAAGTAGACCCTTTAAGGAAATGTATTTCTTTAAGGCTAAATGCACCGAAAAAAACGTGTAGGAAAATTCAATATATCGCAGCACTATCACAGGGGAAATTACTTTACTGATAACGTCTGAACCAATGGTCCGATTTTCGATTTGTAAACGGCATTTGACGCCTTT